ACATAACTCACTTTCCTCTTAACCCTAACTATATATGTTGTTCACTTTAACTTCAATAACCTACTTCAACAAGCATCTCTCGTTAATGTTCGGAATTGTTTTTTAAAATGCGTAACCACTAATCGGGGAATTCAGCAAGGGAGATGGAGTGTCAATGAGGTCGTAGCAATTTTCGGATCATTATTGTGATTTTTGTGTATTTAGTTATGAATTTTCTAAGAAAAAGTCATAAAATAATAATTTAGGGTAAAAGGTAAGGATGTGGCCATGTTGACTGACGCACACTTGTCAAGGGGTGAAAGGTGAGGGGCTGAGATCGCGCCAGGTGTCCATTTGGCAATTATTTTGGCTTTTTTAGTGCAAAAATCTTTGAAAAAATGCAATAAATAGTAGAAAAATCCTAAAAATGCCCCGAAAAATACTCCGGCCTCCTTGTGACGTTATAAAACGAGGGGAACCCATAGATCATCCATTTCGCAATTAAAAATTCAAAAATGATTTACATAACTCACTTTCCTCTTAACCCTAACTATATATGTTGTTCACTTTAACAAGTATATTTCCTTAATATTCGTTATATAATTTGTACTAATACAAGAATTAGTTTCCTTTCATATATAAGGATGTAAAATTATCTGTTTTGGTTATAATAATGTACATATATAATAAATGCACCACTACTTCGAAGCCATAATTGGAACTGCGCATGCGCCTAGAGCTTTGAGGACGTCAGAGATAGTCAATAAGTTGTCCATATGCACCTGCACCTAGAGTTTTCAACACGTCGGCGGTATTCAATAAGTTGTCCTTCTGACGCCGCATTGGGAATCAGTAATATATTTTCTATCATGTCCAATCGCATAAACATATAATATAAAGAAATAAAGCAATAGTAGGAGATGAACCAGTACAAAAAACAATATATAACTGGTACAAAATAATGCCATAACTTTGTCACAAAACCAGTCACACATGCTTTTCCATAAACCTTACCCTAACATATAATACATAAAGGCAACATTGCATATGATGCAACCATGTCCAAATCTGATACGTGATCACAAAAAAATGGACATGGCAGCAACATATGACTGAAGTAGATGCGCACTTTGCATCGTGTTATCGTAATTAAAGACATGAAAATATGAAGGTTGAAATATTCTATAGTAGTAAGCATCAAAATAGGTTTGAAGCAGAGCTTAACGAAAATTCCAGTTCCTCTGATTTGCCTCTACTCAAACACGATAACCAAAATGGTTACTTCCCTTGCTGAGTATATTTGTTAACGTCGGAAACGGTAATAGATGACCAATCAAACCCGGGTACGATGAGTTTTGCATAGGACCGGAAGTAGTCGAATCCAGCTTGCATCACACGCTTCTTTGACTCCATTGCATTAGATGAGTTCTTGTATTTTTGAACAGCAACACTCTGAAGTCGTTTGTGCCTACGCTTCATGCGCTGCAACTTCGCCCTATTCAGATTGGCCTACCTTTTGTCATCTTCAATCTGGCCTTCAACAAATTCCAAACGTGCCCTTGCCCTTTGGATTTCATCACCAAGTTGAAGATGCCTCTCCTTCCAGAAAGCAAGAACTCTTTCAGACTCAAAACTTCCAACAAA